CCCCCTTTAATATCATCTCTTCTCTCACCCCCTTTAATACCATCTCTTCCACTACCCCCTTTAATATCATCTCTTCTCTCACCCCCTTTAATATCATCTCTTCCCTCACCCTTTAATATCATCTCTTCTCTCACCCTTTAATACCATCTCTTCTACTACCCCCTTTAATATCATCTCTTCTCTCACCCCCTTTAATATCATCTCTTCCCCCACCCCCTTTAATATCATCTCTTCTCTCACCCCCTTTAATACCATCTCTTCTACTACCCCCTTTAATATCATCTCTTCTCTCACCCCCTTTAATATCATCTCTTCCCTCACCCTCTTTAATATCTCTCACCCCCTTTAATATCATCTCTTCTCTCAACCCCTTTAATACCATCTCTTCTCTCACCCCTTTTAATATCATCTCTTCCCCCACCCCCTTTAATATCTCTTCTCTCACCCCCTTTAATAACATCTCTCCCACTACCCCCTTTAATATCATCTCTTCCCTCACCCCCTTTAATATCATCTCTTCTCTCACCCCCTTTAATATCATCTCTTCCCTCATCCCCTTTAATATCATCTCTTCCCCCACCCTCTTTAATATCACCTATTCCCCCACCCCCTTTAATATCATCTCTTCTCTCTCCTTCAGCAGGACCCAGGCAATGCCTCTCACAGCTCCAGTTGAATCTCTGCCTGAAGACTACGCGAGGCTGCCTGCCACCCCCAATCAGCTGGAGCTCCGTGCGCTGATCCTAGGCTCTCACCAGGACCCAGGCAACGTGCAGTTCCAGCTGACTTTCCCACAAGCCTATGCGGCGCTGCTGCCGCTTCACCTCATCCACTTTTACACTTTTTTTAACATTTTTTTTACAGTGCTGCTCAACCCATTGTGTGCGTACCACCTGCCAGGTGCCAACGTACTACTAGTGGGTACGCATACCACCGGCTGAAAAGCCCTGTTCTAGTCTAACCCCGTGCTGGAGTGGGAGACCCCAGATCAGCGTTTCTCAGCCTTTTCTTTAACACAGACCCCCTTTAAATAAGCTTTGGTGGCCAAAGGCCATCGCCAAGGAGATTCAAGACTTAACTCAAGATTTCAGTCGGAATCCCAAAGGTGCTTTTTTGCCAGGCGGCTGGATTTTTTCTTTTAAGACGTTTCGCTTCTCATCAGTAGAGCTTCTTCAGCTCTGACTTCCATTCCCCACCGTCCACTCAGAGCTGAAGAAGCTTCCTGGATGAGAAGCAAAACGTCTTCAAAGAATAGAGTAGAGTAGAGTAGAGTAGAGTAGAGTAGAGTAGAGTAGAGTAGAGTAGAGTAGAGTAGAGTAGAATAGAATAGAATTCCTGAGCCAGTATGAGGGAACTATGGCCCCTTCATGACTTGTGGACTTCAACTCCCAGAATTCCTCAGCCAGAATGGGGGAACTATGGCCCCTTCATAACTTGTGGACTTCAACTCCCAGAATTCCTCAGCCAGCATGGGGGAACTATGGCCCCTTCATGACTCATATACTTCAACTCCCAGAATTCTTGAGCCAGTCATGCTGAGGGGAAAGGGAGAGGTTTCCAAGCTGAGCCATGCTGGCTCAGGAATTCTGGGTGTTGAAGTCCACGAGTCATAAAAGGGCCAAGGTTGCCTACCCCTGTTCTAGGACCTTCCATTCTTACTCAAATCAGCCGGCATCTTACCCTGTGCAATGGATGACATAACCACAGAGGGTGTTGAGGACACTACGGTGGTCACCGCAACTGTGCTGGGCATGGAAGACGGCGTGGAACAGCTCCCGGTGGAGGAGCTAGTGGTGGTGGCGGTGGTGGTGCTGTTGTTAACTAGAGAGGACTGTGAAGCCGTTATGACCATGGGCTGCTTCTGGGTGGTGGATGCTATCACCGATGTCGGGACGAGTTTGGTGACAGCTGCGTAGTTGTGAGATTTTGACAGGATGTTGGGGACAAATGTGGAGCTGGGTGATGTGGTCACGATGATTACCTGGAAGAGAACATTGAGAAACGTTTGGCAACGGAGACAAATGTGCTCATTTCTCCTGTGGTGCTTCCAGGCTAGTGCTCAAAAATGACAGACCTAAGGACAGGTAGTCCTCAACTAACGACAGTTCGTTTAGTGACCGTTCAAAGTTACAACGGCCCTAAAAAAGTGAGTTATGACCATTTTTCACACTTTATGACCGTTGGGGCATTCCCATGCTCACATGACAAAAATTCAGGCAGCAATAGCACTTAGACCAGGGGCAGGCAACCTTGGCTCTTTTATGACTCGGGGACTTCAACTCCCAGAATTCCCGTGCCAGCATGGAGGAACTATGGCCCCTTCATGACTTGGAGACTTCAACTCCCAGAATTCCCGTGCCAGCATGGAGGAACTATGGCCCCTTCATGACTTGGAGACTTCAACTCCCAGAATTCCTGAGCCAGCATGGAGGAACTATGGCCCCTTCATGACTCGTGGACTTCAACTCCCAGAATTCCTCAACTATGGCCCCTTCATGAACTTCAACTCCCAGCTCAACATGGGGAACTATGGCCCCTTCATGACTTGTGGACTTCTACTCCCAGAATTCCTCAGCCAGCATGGGGGAACTATGGCCCCTTCATGACTTGGAGACTTCAACTCCCAGAATTCCTCAGCCAGCATGGCTCAGCTTGGAAACCTCTCTCTTTCCCCTCAGTATGGCTGGCTCGGGATTTCTGGGAGTTGAAGTCCACGAGTCATAAAAGAACCAAGGTTGCCTACCCCAGACTTAGACTTATGTCCCGCTTCACAGTGCTCTACAGTCCTCCCGTAAGCAGTTTACAGAGTCAGCATATTTGCCCCCAACAATCTGGGTCCTCATTTTACTGACCTCCGAAGGATGGAAGGCTGAGTCAACCTTGAGCCGGTCAGGATCGAACTGATGGCAGTGAGCTGAATTAGCCTGCAGTACTGCATTCTAACCACTGTGCCACCACAGCCCTTCCTTCCTTCCTTCCTTCCTTCCTTCCTTCCTTCCTTCCTTCCTTCCTACCTACCTACCTACACTTATATACTGCTTCACAGTGCTTTACAGCCCTCCCTATGTGGTTTACATAGTCAACATATTTGCCCCAACAATCGGGGTCCTCATTTTACCGACCTCCGAAGGATGGAAGGCTGAGTTAACTTTGAGCCGGTCAGGATCGAACTGATGGCAGTGAGCTGAATTAGCCTGCAATACTGCATTCTAACCACTCCGCCATCAGGGCTCTATAAAGCTTGGCAACCGACTCGTATTTATGACAGTTGCAATGTCGCGGGACCATTCTGGGGAAGCTAGATTCATTGAACAACCCTGTTAACTCGCTTAATGACTGCAGTCGTTCCCTTAACAACTGTGGCAAGAAGCGTCATAAAAGGGGGCAAAGCTCACTTAATAAGTGTCCCTCTTAGTAGCATAGATTTTGGGCTCAATTGTGGTCGTAATTCAAGTGTCATGATTCTGACAAATGAAACTTTTTAAAGTACTTCAAGGCATGGTTACCTTAAAGAATCTTTAATCTTTAGTATACATGGTCGAAGCCGAAATCTGAATTCCCCTCCCCTAAGCACATAGTATCAAAGCACAATTCACTTCCCTAATTTACACTCATAAATCACATTCTCTTTTTGAAATGCAGGCTTTCCCTCCCGTTCTCCAGCCTGCCATTTCTTTATCATCTCTTATTTCAAAAGTCTCTGAATTGTTATGTCTAACTAACTCTCATCACAATCCTCCCCCCCCATCATCTAATTCTAAGAGTAAAGCATAAGGAAGAATAAGGCTGCATCTCCACATGTTGGCAAAGCAACAACATCCCGTGTTAGCAGCGTTGACATCAAGGACTACCTGTAGTTGGAGTGGCTCAGCCACCCCCCCTTGCAGAAGACCCTAACCCAGTGATGGCGAACCTTTTAGAGACCAAGTGCCCAAACTGCAACCCAAAACCCACTTGTTTATCGAAAAGTGCCAGGGCCGCATCAGCATTGTGGTGCCCTCAGGGTGGGGGGCATGGCCCACTGGGTGGGGGTGGCTCGGTGGTCACGGCAGACTGAGTGGGCGTGGCCAGGGTGGGCATGGCCACCTTGATGTTGCTCGTGGGGGGATGCCTGTGGGGGCTGGGTAGGATTGGGGGAGATCCAGGGGGTCTCTGGTGGGTGGGGCGCAGGGCAGGAGGCTCATCCGGCGTGGTGAGGCAGGGGGTGGGGCGTGGGTGCCATTGCTGCCTGACACCATCGGCCACCACACACAAGAGGCCAGCGAGCGAATGGGGGCGTGCTCTACCACCTCTACTCGGGCTTGCTAGCCAGCTGCTTCGCCGCCTTTGTGCTGGGTGGGGCACCAGTGGTGGCCTAATGGACCTGAGCGAGCTGGCGGCGGCAAGTGTGCCCACAGAGAGGGCTCTGAGTGCTGCCTCTGGCATGCGTGCCATAGATTCGCCATCACTGTCCTGACCCAACCCTTTGATTAAGAGTAGGAGAAGCTTTCTCCCAAACTGCCCTGATCCCAGCTCGGACCTTCTGGGTGGTGGTGTTGGTGGTCTGCGTGGAGGAAGGTTTGGTGAAGGTGATCTTCACGGGAGACATGTGGGGTGGCAAGGAGTTGGCAATGCTCTGCATGATGCTGCTCATCTTAGGGCTGCCTCCTACGGGCACCGTGATGGTCTTGGTGACCGGGGGGATGGCCTTGGGGACCTCTTTCAGGAGCACAGGGGAAGAGCTTGAGGAGTTGGTACGGCGCCTCTTGCGGGGTTTCTCGTCCTCGTCCGAACAAGTCACGCCTGCAACGAAGAGCAGAGACTCTGGGTCCTTATTTTGTTGATCCGGAAGGATCCAAAGAAAATCACTTGATAAAGCATTTTACAGATGGAGAGAGAGAGAGAGAGAGAGAGAGATTTACAACTGTTCGCGACATGTGCCTTTTAGCTTCTGGGAAGTTTCGCCGACCAACACCTCCTACGACGAATGGCAAAACAGAAAGGTTGAATTAAGTACCGGTAGCCCTTGACTTACAACCGTTCATGTAGTGGCCGTTCAAAGTTACGACAGCAACGGAAATCTTACGGTTTCACACTTAGGACTGTTGCGGCAACCCCATGATCACCTGATCAAGATTCGGACACTCGGCAACCAGCATGTATTTACCATATATGCCGGCTTATAAGACGACTTCCGGAAGCGCTAAACTCGGCGCCAAAGACGGGGGTCGTCTTATACACCGAGTCGTCTTATACACCGGAAATACTGGTAGTTTCCGGCGTATAAGACGACGTTCTAGGAATGCGGCTCGGCGATAAAGACGGGGGTCGTCTTATACGCTGGGTCGCCTAATACACCGGCATATACGGTATTTATAATGGTTGCAGGGTCCCAGGGTCATGTGATCACCATCCCTAACCATCCTAGCCAGCTTCCAACGAGCAAAGTTAAAATTTGTATGTACACTTGCTTCAAAAAAATGGACACAACTTCCCAGTTGTAATCTGTGACATAGGGCATACCGCATAACCCAATATAAGGCAGATCTCGGTGACAAAATGATATCTTATAATCCCTTTCTCTCCAAGGAACGTAAACACCAATTCCCGTCTTGCTCATTATCCCAGCACTGGAATGCACATTCCAAAGGGTGGGGGGGAGCTGAAATAAAATTATAAGCTCGCTCCGGCTCAGGTGATGTTCCACTTAGCGACCAAGTTGCCAATCCCAATTGTGGTCGCCCTAACGAGGTCTATCTACCTGTCCAATCAAAACGTTCTAACCTGCCACCTTGAAAACGACCTTTTCCAAGAGTATTAGAAGTAGTCTAACTTCCAAAAGAGCTGCTTGAATTTGCCATTCCAAACTTCAAATGCTGCACTGGCATTGAAGCAGCCTGCTTTGAGGTCGTCACCAACAGGTTTTGATCATCTCTTAAGCTCTTTCAAGTCCAGAGCTTCCATTTTGACTGAAAACACACTTTTTTTTTTTTTTGAAAATATTTTATTGGTTTTTTAATTTTTAAGAAAAAGTACTCAGGACACACCGTGGTGTTTGGGTAATCAGATATTCCAAAGTAAAAACATGAATAAACAATTCAACTCAATACACTCACTGTCTCTTCTCTATTTCCTTCAAATAATATAATACGTTTAAAATATTCCATTTCTAAATTAAATTTCTACTACTACTAAACCTGTTTTAAAACTTTATCAGTTATACTTACTTTTAACGTAAACAGCACTTCCACTTGGGAGAACGACCACGTTGGAAGCTGGGCTGGCAGGTCTGGGGGATTTAACCGTCGCAATGCTACCGCTTGGTACCGGGGTGGACGTCGGCGTAGAGGTGGTAGTTGTGTAGGAGTAACAAACCACTACTGAAGAGGAAGTCAAGACACCCGTTTCAGATGGTTTTCAGAATAGGCTCTGCTTTCTCGAATCGTGTGTGGGCCCAGTAGAGTCACACAAGAGCATCCCCTGCCCTCAAAAATCCCTGTTTAAGGCTTGTTTGTGAAAACTATTTCCCTTCTTATCCCAAAGGCGCTTTTTTTCTTGGTTTTTCCTTGAAGACGTTTCACTTCTCATCCCAAGAAGCTTCTTCGGCTCTGACTGGACAGTGGGGAACGGAAGGATTTATACTCCTTGCAGAAAAACTGGTCATTTGCATCCTTTTAGAGAGTCGTTGAGGCCACCTGGAGGTTTGTCTGTGTCCTCTGGGTCACCTGAGTGGTGCAAATGAGTGTGGAGCCTCTTTGGAACAACTGAAAGGACTGTGTTGTGGAGTTGTGCTTTCTGCAGAATGTTTCAGCCGTTCCAAGAAGACTCCACACTCATTTGCATCCCTCAGGTGACCCTGAGGACAAAGATAAGCCTCCAAGTGGCCTCAACGACTCTCTAAAACAGGGGTGTCAAACTCAATTTTATTGAGGGCTGCATCAGCACTGTGGTTGCCCTTGGGGGGGTGGCCAGGGTGGGGGTGGCCTACTGGGTGGGTGTGGACGGAGTGGGTGTGGCCTACTGGGTGGGCATGGCAGCTGTCAAGGGTGCCTGTGGGGGCCTGGGCAGGAGTGGGACAGATTGGAGGGTCTCTGGCAGAAGGGGGTGGGACGGGGCAAGTGACAAGGCATGGTCCACTGGAGGAGCCTCACTGCCTCCTGAAACCGCCGGAGCCCATCAAGACGGATATGGTGAAGTAGGCACGGGCCATTTGCTGGCCACTTCCAGGCGATGGTGCATTTCTTCATTCCTCACAAAGGGTGACACCTCCCCAGCATGCACCCAGGGGGCAGGGCCAACATGGCAGGGGCTGGTTCCTTGCTGTTTCCAGATGGCCTTGTGGAGCTAAGACTGAATGCGTTTCAGCACAGATGGCCACCACAAAATTGTACATTGGCTCCCGGCCGGCCTGGGCCAGGGCCAAGGCAGCAGGGGGCCGTTCCCTCACTGTTTCCAGGATGGCTTCGCGGGCCACACGAAACCACTTTGCGGGCCGCATCCGGCCCCCGGGCCTTGTGTTTGACATGTCTGCTCTTGTTGTTGTTGTTAATTGCGAAGTCGTGTCCGACCCATCGCGACCCCATGGACAATGTTCCTCCAGGTCTTCCTGTCCTCTATCATCTTCTGGAGTCCATTTAAGTTCACACCTCCTGCTTCAGTGACTCCATCCAGCCCTCTCCTTCTCCGTCGTCCCCTTCTTCTATTGCCCTCAATCTTTCCCAGCATTAGGCCCTTCTCCAGTGAGTCCTTCCTTCTCATTAGGTGGCCAAAGTATTTGAGTTTCAACTTCAGGATCTGGCCTTCTAAAGAGCAGTCGGGGTTGATCTGCTCTAAAAGGATGCAAATGACCAGCTGTCTGCAAGGAGTATAAATCCTTCCATTCCCCACCATCCAGTCGGAGCTGAAGAAGCTTCTGGGATGAGAAGTGAAAAGTCTTCAAAATAAAAACAAGAAAGTCCAGTTGCCTCGTGAAAAAGCATAATGGCTCACCCAAGAAGTTCCTTCAGTTCTGACTAAATGAGGGAGGAGAGTGAGAACTGAACAAGCTTCTTGGATGAGAAGCGAAATGTCTTCGAAAAACAAAGGAAGTCCAGTTGTCTCCTGAAAAAAAGCACTTATGGGATGACCATGATCTGGATGACGGGGAATCTCCGTGGACGTATCTCCTTTCTTCCCAGGTGCCATGCTGTAGAAGCATAAAGGCCACCTACCCTCACCTTCTTTGCTTCCTGTTTCTGCAGGGGAAGGCAGAGACGTGTTATGCTGGAGAGCTGCGTTGGCCACCGCGTTGGCTGTGACCGTGAAGGCTGTTTGAGGAACCAACCGGGGCATCAGAGGAACCAGCCGACGGCCTTCGATGGACCACTCGGAAGAGCTGTTCGGCCCGGACATGCTGAAGGGAAACCCGCAAGTTTAGAAACAGCCCGTTCACTTCCCACTTGAATTACTTAAAAAGCTTTCCCTAATCACAACTTGCCTGCGGAAGTTGTGGGTGCTCCAACACTGGAGGTTTTTAAAAAGAGAATGGACAGCCATTTGTCTGAAATGGTCTAGGGCAGGGGGCCTTCCAACTTAGCCCTTTTATGACTTGTGGACTTCAACTCCCAGAATTCCTCAGCCAGGCACGCGTGCCTGGCTGAGGAATTCTGGGAGTTGAAGTCCACAAGTCATAAAAAGGTCAAATTTGAACACCCCTGGTATAGGGTCTCCTGCTTGCCTAGCGGGTTGGGCTAGAAAACCTCCAGGGTCTATTCTGATTGATTGAGCGTATCAAATCCATATACTGGAACTTTTGTTTGAGGCTAAAACATACGAAGAACGGTTGCAGAAATTGGGTGTGTCTAATCTAATGGAAAGAAGGACCAAGGGTGACATGATAGCAGCCTTCCAGTATCTCAGGGACTGCCCCATAGAAGAGGGAGTCAAGCTGTTCTCCAAAGCACCAGAAGGCAGGACAAGAAGCAACAGGTGGAAACTAAGCAAGGAGAGAAGCAACCTGGAACTAAGGAGAAACTTCCTGACAGTGAAAACAATTAAAACAATTAATCAGTGGAACATGCCTCCAGAAGCAGTAAATGCTCCAACACTGGAAGTCTTTAAGAAAAGACTGGACAGCCATTTGTCCGAAATGGTATAGGGTTTTCTGCATGAGCAGGGGGTTGGACTTGATGACCTCCAAGTTCCCTTCCAACTTTACTATTATTATTATTAAGTTTAATAAAGGAAGAAATTATTAGCGTCAACCATGTACTGGGCACGGGGCCCTTAAAGGCAAAAGAAACACTTGGAAATGTTGCCCATGCGAGATTTGGTTCTAAAGTGTTCATAAGGCGTCCATCTTACTTATGTGCAATCGTTGTCAAGCGTTCATCGTTGACCGCCCTCCGAACTTCCGCCCGGTGTCTTTCCGTCGAAATGCTGTCGAAAGACATGGATCAGGTTTAACTTCAGCTTTGCAAACCGGAACAGACACTGAAGAGAAGCAAGACTACATAGGTCAGTGGTGGCGAATCTATGGCACGGGTGCCAGAGGTGACACTCAGAGCCCTCTCTGTGGGCACGCGCGCTGTCGCCCCAGTCCTAGGCCTTCAGCTGGGTTTTATAAAATGTTTTCGCTTTAGGCCGCCACCACGTGCAAAAAAAAAAAAAAAAGAAAGGTTCAATCAATCAGTCAATTTCAACTTCTCGTGGGAAAAAAAAAGATCTTGCAAAGTTGGTGGCCACACCCACCCGGCACTCGACGATGCATAAGTGGGTTTTGGGTTGCAGTTTGGGCACTCAGTCTCTAAAAGAAGCAACAGATGGATCACTGACATAGGTGATCCTCACTTCACCATGGGAATCGGGACCGGCAACTGTCGCTAAACAACGGGGCCCATAAAACATGATGTCACGGCACCGTGACAACTTAACGACAGCAGGAGCGGTGGTTCCCGTGGCTGTTGTTAAGTGAGTCCCAGGTGGTTGCTTTGTCCCATGGTCACATGACTAATATTGGCAATCTCTTCTCGGGTTTTTTTTTGTGGGGGGGGGGTTTAGAAATCAGCAGCGAAGGTTGCAAATGGAGGTCATGTGACCCTGTTGTAATTGCCAGCCAGTTGTCAAGTGCCCAAATTGCAATCATGTGATTGCAGGGATGCTGTGATGGCTGTAACCATAAGTTTCGAAGATTAGTTTAATTTGGGGGGTTACCAATTAACAGTGAAGAGAGATGGGGTCGATTTGATTGATAGAGAATGGAATTTTCTATCTGAAATATTTGTTAAGACGTGAGGGTTTAACGTACTGATTGAGTTAAATATAGGTGGGAAAATTTACAACCATTTGTAGACCCCCTTGAGCAAGAAGAGGAATCTGTTAGATAGGAGTTATCCACATTCAGCCAGGGTGGATGTTTGTTGAGTGTTAACTGCATATCTGTTATATATATATACTCTCCTCTTCCCTTTTTTTAAAAAAAATCCAGTATTGTTCATTTTTTTCCTGCCTTGTTTGTAGTGCTTGTTATTTTTTGTTGTTCCTTATTTGTATTTCACCTTTTGGAATACCAAATTTCAAATTAAAAAAAAAAAAGAATGTCTCCCACTGTAACGTCAAATGGTCAGTGAACAAGGAGACTTTCAAATGAATCCTGCACTTATTAAGTGAATTTAGCTTCCCCCCCCTTGACTTTGTTTGGCTGCAAATGGGGATCACACAGCCCTCAGATGTCACAACCCTTGTAAACACATGCTGGTTGCCAAGCACTCGAATTTCGATCACATTAACTCTAGAAATGCTGTGACGATTGTTAAGTGTAGTAAGCGACTCGTTCCAGTACTGTTGTAACTTCAGTCATTAAATGAATGGATGTAAGTCGAGGATGACCTGTAATCCTCTAAAGCAGAGGGTCTGTCTTCAAACTTGGCTCTTTTATGACTTGTGGACTTCAACTCCCAGAATTCCTCAGCCTGAGGAATTCTGGGAGTTGAAGTCCACAAGTCATAAAAGGGCCAAGTTTGAAGACAGACCCCTGCTCTAAAGGTAGAATTTTCTACTGATGAGGGAAGAAAACCATCCACTTCCTGCGTTGTTGTTGTTGTTGTTGTTGTTGTTGTTGTTGTTGTTGTTATTATTATTATTATTATTATTATTATTATTATTATTATTGCATCTATCCCTGAATTGCCAACTGGGCCCAGCCTTCCTTAGCAGAAAGAAAGCCACCCCATCCAGGCTAACCTAGGTTTTTACCTCAGCACTCTGGAAAGTTCTCCCAGAAGGTCCCGCTTCTCCTTCGTCAGATCTCCCTGGGCCCGCAAGGCACTGATCACTCCAGCGTAGGCTTCCAGTTCTACGCAGCGCAAAGAGGAGGAAAGAGAGGTTGAGATTCAAAGGAAGTCGCAGGAGACAAGAATGCAGGGGGTCTTCAAACTTGGCCCTTTTCTGACTGGTGGACTTCAACTCCCAGAATTCCTCAGCCAACATGGGGGAACTATGGCCCTTTCATGACTTGTGGACTTCAACTCCCAGAATTCCTCAGCCAGCATGGGGGAACTATGGCCCCTTCATGACTTGTGGACTTCAACTCCCAGAATTCCTCAGCCAACATGGGGGAATTATGGCCCCTTCATGACTTGTGGACTTCAACTCCCAGAATTCCTCAGCCAACATGGGGGAATTATGGCCCCTTCATGACTTGGGGACTTCAACTCCCAGAATTCCTCAGCCAACATGGGGGAATTATGGCCCCTTCATGACTTGGGGACTTCAACTCCCAGAATTCCTCAGCCAACATGGGGGAACTATGGCCCCTTCATGACTTGGGGACTTCAACTCCCAGAATTCTTCAGCCAACATGGGGGAATTATGGCCCCTTCATGACTTGTGGACTTCAATTCCCAGAATTCCTCAGCCAGCATGGGGGAACTATGGCCCCTTCATGACTTGGGGACTTCAACTCCCAGAATTCCTCAGCTAGCATGGGGGAACTATGGCCCCTTCATGACTTGTGGACTTCAACTCCCAGAATTCCTCAGCCAACATAGGGGAATTATGGCCCCTTCATTATTTGTGGACTTCAATTCCCAGAATTCCTCAGCCAGCATGGGGGAACTATGGCCCCTTCATGACTTGGGGACTTGCAACTCCCAGAATTCCTAAGCCAGCATGGGGGAACTATGGCCCCTTCATGACTTGGGGACTTCAACTCCCAGAATTCCTCAGCCAACATAGGGGAATTATGGCCCCTTCATGACTTGGGGACTTCAACTCCCAGAATTCCTAAGCCAGCATGGGGGAACTATGGCCCCTTCATGACTTGGAGAAACTAAGGAGAAACTTCCTGACAGCGAGGACAATTAACCAGTGGAACAACCTGCCTCCAGAAGCAGTAAATGCTCCAACACTGAAGTTTTTAAGAAGAGACTGGACAGCCATTTGTCTGAAATGGTGTAGGGTTTCCTGCTGGAGCAGGGGGTTGGACTAGATGACCTCCAAGATCCCTTCCAACAACATCATCATCATCATCATCATTACTATTATTACGAAGTCTTAGTGCAAATCTCAGGTTACAACATCAAATCATTCTTTTTCCCTTAACATTGACTGTCTCGTATTCAGATGAGCACATTTCTAATAGATCAGCTCAATAAGAACATCTTTATTACATTTATCAATAAAGTTTTAATCCTAATTACATTCTAATTTTCATAAACGATCCATGTCCTGTTATTGATTTTTTTTACTCATTTTTTAAATTTCTGATCAATATTCCAATTTAACCTTTAATATGTATCATTTTCAGATTTTGGGTAATCTGAATTTCCATTCTCTCATCTCATAACCAACTATAATATCCGAAATACACCTTTTATCTATTTGAATCTAATCTGGTTCTATTTCCTCAGAGTTATCTATTGCCCACCGTATTGAATCGTCTACCTACACTCCATCTTGAGGGCTAGGAGCTTGTCCTTCTCTGGAAAGGTCCCCCATCCAGGCTGGACTTACCCAGTTTCCGGAGGACCCTCTTGCATTCATCCCGGCTGAGGTCCAGAAGTGTTGGCCACACCACAGGCATCGTTGCCCGGTCAGTCGGCTCCTGCAGAGCTCAGCCTCCCTGGGAAGACACACAAAGAGCGTTAGGGGAGAAAAGTCCTCCGTCGCAATCTTTTGACGACAATTCTTTTTTATATATATATTTTTATTATTATTATTTTTTCATCAACATATGTTAATTTTCCAATCAACAAAGTTGTCTGGAGTTTGCTAAGCTAATACATGTTCAATTCCTAATCCTTCATTCTCTTCTCTAACCAAGAATAAAATAAATTCCAAATTTGATAGTAGTCTGTATCTTCTTTGTCTTTCAACCTCATAGTTAATCTGTCCATCTCTGCACATGCCAGTATTTTCCTGATTATTTCTTCTTCTGATGGCAAGCCTTCATTCTTCCAGTATTGTGCAAAAATTATTCTCGCTGCTGTGGTGATGTGTAAAATTAAATATAATTTCTGCTTATTAGTCTTTTCAGGCATAATGCCTAGTACAGTGGTTCTCAACCTGTGGGTCAGGACCCCATTTGGGGTCGAACGACCATTTCACGGGGGTTGCCAAACAACGCAGTCTGCCATTTTTTCCCCCTTTTCCTTAGCTGTGCTCCTCCCTTTTATTCTATTGGCTTTCGAAAGCCAATAGAATAGACTCTCTTGAATAGAGTCTAATTCTATTGGCTTTCAAAAGCCAATAGGAATTGTCCAGGCTGTCTCGGCCCTGCTGAGCCCGCCAAAAGTCCCATTCTGCAAACGGTGCTGCACCAGTTGAGTAGTCCTCGACTTACGACCGGTTGAGTAGTCCTCAACTTATGACCGGTTGGGGGGTCGCGGCATTAAAAAGGTTGAAAACCATTGGCCTAGTAGAAAAAGTTCAAGTTTAAAATCCACTTGTTCGCCCAATATTTTTTCTAACCACAAATGTATATTTTTCCAATAAGCCTTTGCCTTCCCACGTCCACCAAATATGATAATACGTGCCTATGTTATGTTTACATTTCCAACATCTATCTGACATATTTTTAAACATTTTTGCTAATCTTGCTGGTGGAAGGTGCCATCTATAAAACATTTTATACAAATTTTCTTTGTGTGAAGTTGACATTGTTAATTTATAGTTTCTCTCCCATAACATTTGCCATTTTTTCTAATTCTATATTATAACCAAAAAAATTTTCCCATCTTGTCATCGTTTCTTTCACTTGCTCACTTTCCATATCTAAAATTAACAAAAAGTTATACAATTTCTTAATTAATTTCTCATCTGAGGATAACAAAATCTTATCAAACACAGACTGGTCCTTATAAAATCCATACATTTTTACATCTTTTTCATATCTGCTTTGTATCTGTAAATGCGCCCACCAAGACAGATTAATTCCCTGATTTTCCAATTCTTGTTTAGATTTTAATTTCCCATCCGTATCTAAAATATCTTTATATTTGTTGCCCGGTCAGTCGGCTCCTGCGGAGCTGAGCCTCCCTGGGAAGAGACACAAAGAGCATTAGGGGAGAAAAGTCCTCCATCGCAATCTTTTGACGACAATTCTTGACTTCCACAACATACAGATTCAACCAGCGCTTCAATTGGGAACATGTGACCATCCTAGACCGGGCCAAAAATGCCGGGGAATTTCCAGAAGCCTGGCACTCTGACCAATGAGCCACCGATCGGCACACAGACATTAACGGCATCTACAGACCGTGCAAAAGAGACGATCCACCAGCCCCCAAAGGGAAAAAGACTCCAGCACCAGGAATCCGCACTCAGATCCACATAGATTAGCTCCAAGGTCAACTTTAGGCCCAACCATCGAGTAAGCAAGACCCCGCCGATCAAGAAACGGCCAAAGAGCCATTAGTAAGGAAGCCCAACCAAAGAGTCCATGATCCCACCCACCCAGGTAGGCAAGACGGCAGAATATAAACGCACAGCAAACAGCACTCCTTACTACAGTAGCACTGATGATGTTACCTGGTTAGGGTCATGAAACGTCTGCAAGAAAACAAGCAAGCTCAGAGAGCACCAAGGTCCCCACAGTTCTCCTCCTCCTTCTCCTCCTCCTCGTCCTCCTCCTCCTCCTCCACACCACAAACCCCACTCTCTTGTAGCACTGATGATGTTACCTAGCTGGGTAATGAAACGTCTGCAAGAAAACAAGCAAGCTCAGAGAGCACCAAGGTCCCCACAGCTCTCTTCCTCCTCCTCTTCCTCCTCCTCCTCCTCCTCTACACCACAAACCCCACTCTCTTGTAGCACTGATGATGTTACCTAGTTGGATAATGAAACATCTGGAAGGAAACCAGCAAGCTCCAAGAGCACCAAGGTCCCCACAGTTGTTGTTGTTCTTCTTGTTCTTGTTCTTGTTCTCCTTCTCCTCCTCCTCCTCCTCCTTCTCCTCCTCCTCCTCCTCCTCTACACCACAAACCCCACTCTCTTGTAGCACTGATGATGTTCTCTAGTTAGGATAATGAAACGTCTGGAAGGAAACCAGCCAGCTCAAACAGCACCCAGGACCCCTCACCATCTTTGGAACACCATGCCATATACACAAATGATCCCTGCAACCCCTGTGGAGACAGAACGAGATGTTCAAGAGAGAACAGGACAAGCTCTATGGTTAGTCCTCGACTTACAACAGTTTGTTTGATGACCGTTCAAAGTCAGCTGAAAAAAAAGTGACTCCTGACCCGTTTTCACCCTGACGACCGCTGCAGCATCCCCATGGGTCATGCGATCAAAATTCAGACGCTGAGCAACTGACTGGTGCTTAGGACAGTTTGCCGTCTCCCAGGGTCACGTGATCCCCTTTGGCGACCTTCCGACAAGCATCCACGGGGAACGCCAGATTCACTTAACAACCGTGCGACTATCTTAAGCACTGGGGCAAGAAAGGCCTTAAATTGGGGCGAAACTCACCAAGTGAACTGACCACTTCACAGCATGACGTTTGGGCTCAATCGTGGCCATAGGTTGAGGACAATCTGTACTTAGAAGAGGCAGTTTGGCCTCGTAGGTTAAGGCAGTCTAGTGTTCCTCAAGCTTGGAGATTTGAACATATGTGGACTTCCAACTCCCAGAATACCACAGCAAGCATTCTGGGCTGGGCAATCACTTATGAGCTTGTATTGAGAGTTCGTGCAAAAGACGTGTGTGTGTGTGTGTGTGTGTGTGTGTGTGAGAGAGAGAGAGAGAGAGAGAGAGAGAGAGAGAGAGAGAGAGAGAAATTGTTCAGCCCTTCTCACTATAAGCAGGCAAGCTTCCAAATTCTATTCCATTCCATTCCATATTTTGTATTATATTCTATTGTATTCTATTCTATTCCTTAATTTTGTTCTATTCTATTCTATTCTATTCTATTCTATTCTATTCTATTCTATTCTATTCTATTCTATTCTTTTATTCTATTCTATTCCTTAATTCTATTCTATATTATTCTATTCTATATTATTCTATTCTATTCTATATTCTATTCCTATTCTATATTCAATTCCATTCCATATATTCTGTTCTATTCTATTCCTCAATTCTATTCTATTCCTTAATTCTATTCTATTCCTACTCTATTCGAATTCTTATTCTATTCCTTAATTCTATTCTATTCCTATTCTATTCCTATTCTAATTCTTATTCTATTCCTTAATTCTATTCTATTCTCTTTTATTCTATTCCTTATTCTATTCTATTCCTATTCTATTCGAATTCTTATTCTATTCCTTAATTCTATTCTATTCCTTAATTCTATTCTATATTCTATTCCTATTCTATATTCCATTCCATATTTTCTTTTCCATTCTATTCCATTCCATTCAATTCCATTCCATATATTCTGTTCTGTCCTATTCTTTTCTATTTTCCATTCCATTCCATATTTTCTCTTCTCTTCTCTCTTTCCTCCTCTCTTCTCCTCTCTTCTGGTTCTATTCTATTCTACTCATTATGGCACCCCAGCCACCCTTCCAAAGTGCCCAAAGGAGTGAGTCAACCCAGCACAATGCAATCCTACAGTGCAATGCAATCTCCAGAGCGGCACACACAGCCCTGCAGGGTATGGATATAAGGAGTGGAACTGGCACCCGCCAAGCGGTAATTGCAGGAAATCAAAGAACTGCATAACCGCGCGCAGTTGCAAGCATTCCTCTCAACGGATCAGCAATCGCAAGTCAACATATTCCTCACACCGTTTCTGGAGGCTTCCTTCTTTTCGACATGAGGAAGGGGTGAAGAGGCCCAAAAAATCCTTTCAAGCACAGAAGGTCACCTTTCCAGCTGTTCTCCCCTCCAATTTATGCTATTAGCAACATGGGGAGTGCACGTAGTTCTCGACTTACCGACTTGCAACTCCCAGAATTCCTCAGTCAGCCCTACTGGCTGGGGAATTCTGGGAGCTGAAGTCCACAAGACTTCAGGTGGCCAGGTTGGGAGATCCCTGCTCAACACAACAGCGTCTATAGCAGTGTTTCTCAACCTTGACCATTTTAAGGCATGTGGACTTCAACTCCCAGAATTCCACAGCCAGCATTGCTGGCTGTGGAATTCTGGGAGTTGAAGTCCACATGCCTTAAAATGGTCAAGGTTGAGAAACACTGGTCTATAGTCAAGTTGTCCCCTCGTGCCTTAAGGATGCCACCAGCTAATCGACAAATTAAGAACATGGGAACTGTGGTGGTCCAGAAAACCTTTAGCGCTAACCTTCCAAAGGGACTCCAGTCTCCATTGAACATACCAGCCTGAGGACCTCTCCTTACCACAGAAGCTTGCATGGGTCTCTCAAAGGCTTGGAGATACCTACAGCCCTGGGACAGGAGAGTAGATCCTATCCTTTGATCAGTCAGCTTGGTCTTGTGGTTAAGGCATTAGGCTAGAAAGCAAAAAAGATGGCGAGTTCTAGATCCATCTTAGCCATGAAAGCCAGCTGGATGGCTTTGGGCCAATCACCAGGAGACGGTGAGCTCTAGTCCCGCCTTAGCCATGAAAGCCAGTTGGGTGACTGTGGGCCAATCCCCAGGAGACGGTGAGTTCTAGCTTAACCTTAGCCATGAAAGCCAGTTAGGTGATTTTGGGCCATCACCAGGAGACAGTGAGTTCTAGTTTAACCTTAGCCATGAAAGCTAGCTGTGGGCCAATCCCCAGGAGACGGTGAGTTCTAGTTTAACCTTAGCCATGAAAGCCAGTTAGGTGATTTTGGGCCATCACCAGGAGACAGTGAGTTCTAGTTTAACCTTAGCCATGAAAGCCAGTTAGGTGACTGTGGGCCAATCACCAGGAGACGGTGAGTTCTAGTTTAACCTTAGCCATGAAAGCTAGCTGTGGGCCAATCCCCAGGAGACGGTGAGTTCTAGTTTCACCTTAGCCATGAAAGCCATCTGGATGACTTTGGGCTAATCACTAGGAGACGGTGAGCTCTAGTCCTGCCTTAGCCATGAAAGCCAGTTGGGTGACTGTGGGCCAATCGCCAGGAGATGGTGAGTGCTAGTTTCACCTTAGCCATGAAAGCCAGTTAGGTGATTTTGGGCCATCACCAGGAGACAGTGAGTTCTAGTTTAACCTTAGCCATGAAAGCCAGTTAGGTGACTTTGGGTCAATCCCCAGGAGACGGTGAGGTCTAGTTTAACCTTAGCCATGAAAGCCAGTTGGGTGACTTTGGGCCAATCCCCAGAAGACGGTGAATTCTACTCCTGCCTTAGTCATGAAAGCCAGCAGCGTGACTTTGGGCCAATCCCCAGGAGACGGTGAGTTCTAGTCCCGCCTTAGCCCTAGAAAATAGGCTGGGTGACTTTGGACCAGTCTGTCTCTCTCAGTCCAACCCACTTCACAGGGTTGTTGTCGTTGTGGGGGAAACCAGGAAGAGAAAGGATATGTTTGCTGCCTTGAGTTATCTGTAAAAATATTAAAGGCGGGATAGAAATAAATAAATAAATAAATGCCTTACTTTAGAGGTCGAGTGTCGAGTTTCAGCAAGTGCAAGCATGCTCCAGAGAAGGAATGTCAATCCACCACTTCTGGGGGATGGTGTGACTGTCAATTCAGCAATAAACCACTGTCAGAGCGCGCAGGTAACCCAGGAGTCAACACAGTAAATGGTGGCCTATATTAAATGGTGGTTTATCTTAACCCTATCTACAATATCATGCACCAGGAGCAATATACATACATGTGCTAGTATTGCAGGCTCCAACAAACCACAGTTACAGCAGGAAAACGGAAGAGAGAGCACACATCTGCGTAGCCTTACCTTTTTATACAAAGGCTCTTAAAGAGACACAGACCCTGCTGCGTCATTCCCATCGTTACATCATACGTTACACCAGCTGGTTCGCTTTTAAATCATTACCCTGACAACCACAATTCGCTTCCTGTTCTGGAAAATCCACTTAAATTGCTGGACCACCCTGGAACAAGGATGTTCCTACATTTCTCAGAAACTATGCCCAAGGGCTACTTTGTGCACACACCCAGTTGAAGGCGTGCAAGGCGAGCACCTTGTGTGTGTCTGTCTCTGTGTGTGTGAGTGTCACAAAAGGCCGGCAGATGCTGTTTCACAAAACCTGAGAATCTCTTTATTCTGTATCCTCCCTGCGCCCCTTTGCATTTCATTCCAAAATTCTTTTGGGAATGCCCTAAAATGATCAACTCCAGATAGTCCTCCAGCTTACAACGGTTCCTTTAGGGACCATTCAAAGTTACAGCAGCACTGAAAAAAAGCAACTTGTGACCATTTTTTCACACTTACCACCTTTGTAGCATCCCTGTGGATGCTTTAGCAGCTGACTTGTATTGGCGACAGTTGGCCGTGTTTTGAGGTCACGCGATCCCCTTCTGCGTCCTTCTAACAAGCAAAATCAAAGGGGGCAAAATGCACTTAACGAATGTCTCGCTTAGCAACAGAAAGGGGCTCAGTTGTGGTCGTACGTCGAGGACTATTTGTCGCCTGAGGTTACATTCATTATCCAACACACACGACAGTCCTGCTCCAATGGGCAATCCGACAGACTTGGCCCAAATTCTGAGCCGTCAATCGACAAATTCTGATTAATCTGGCAGCTGCATTCCCAGAAATCCTTTGGAAACCCCCAAAATTTTCATCAAGATCTGCTAGGTCACCTGTGGCCACCTTCAATATCCGTCACACCTAGTTTTGCTTCCATGGAGAATTGACACAGACGTGGCTAACCTTACGATCGGTCAACAAACACGGATGAAGTCTTGTTTACCTGACCATTTCATTCTCAGAATCCTTTGGGAATCCCCTAAATCCTCATTCAGATCTGCTAGGTCACCTGTGGTTACATTCAACATCTGTCAGACACACACACCCCCGCCTGCTCCAACTGGTAGCTAGACAGACCTGGCCAAAATTGTGATCAGTCAAAAAACGGGACCTTCAAATGGAGCAGTTGAGGTTCTCCTCAAATGCCAGATAGACAGACAGACAGACAGACGGGAGGGCCAATCAGAATGGAGAGATCTACAGTGCAAAGGCCTAACCAACTGGCAATTACACACACACAGTAATTGTGCCCGCATCCATAAAGTTGGGTCATCCAAGGACAGATCAACCACAGTGCCCCAGGCGAGACGTGGCAAGATTTAGGGGCAAATACACCCTAACACAGGGCATTACAAGACAATGGGCAATTGCAACGAACAGGATCCAGGTGGAATTAAAACCCATACATACCTCCCAAGGACCACCTTGATTTGAGAAGCTCTAGGCCCTTCAAACCTTCAACCTACTCAAATCCACTGAAATCTTTACTTGCAGTCCCAGGCCAGCAATAAGAAAAGCCGAAGGGTGCAACAATAATTTAAAAACTAAACAATACACACAGTTAAAGGTATTTTACGTATATAGACAAAAAGCTAAAAAAATAAAAAAAAACTACCAAAGAGGTAAAACGTTACGTAAATCCAGGGAAACAAAGAATACAGGGCGAACTAAATCCATTACAATTCAAAACCCTCTTAGCAAACGAAAACGCTGAAAGATAAACAGAACAGAAGCACAGAGTTGGAAGGGACCCTGGAGGTCATCTAGCCCAACCCCCTGCTCAAGCAGGAGACCCTATACCATTTCGGACAAATGGCTGTCCAGTCTCTTCTTAAAAACTTCCAGTGTTGGAGCATCCACAGCTTCTGGGGGCAGGTGATTCCACTGGTCAATTGTTCTAACTGTCAGGAAGTTTCTTCTTAGTTCTAGGTTGCTTCTCTCCTTGATGAGTTTCCATCCGTTGCTTCTTGTCCTGCCCTTTGATGCTTTGGAGAATAGCTTGACTCCCTCTTCTTTGGGGCAGCCCCTGAGATACTGGAAGACTGCTATCCTGTCCCCCCTCGTCCTTCTCTTCATTAAACTAGACATACATAATTCCAGCAACCATTTCTCATATGTTTTAACCTGCAGTCCCCTGATCATCTTTGTTGCTCTTCTCTGCCCTCTTTTCTAGAGTCTCAACCTCTTTCAGTTTGAGGCCCAGACCATCATCTGACAAATTTTAATTGCTGCTGTGCAGAACCTGCTCACACTGGATCCCGTGGCTGGATCAGTCTCTGCAAGCCGCAGGGAGATTGAGAATTCCCTGTGCAATGAACGGAGCATGGGTGAGATAACGGAGCATGGATTTCTCTGTAGGAGAAGCTCCTGTTTCTATCCTACTCATGCATCACATCATGTGACTTAGATGTAAGGGTGAAGGTCTAAACATATGTTGTATATAATATGTTTTAAATGTGCGTGGTGTATGTGTACACTTTTGAGAGCAAGCAACTCAATTTCATTGTGCCATTGTGCCCACAGGGAAAAACGACAATAAAGGTTCTCTAATCTAATTTAAAATCTAATCTGCTACAAGACTTTCTTCCAAGGAAGCAAACTCAAGGCTCGGGAAGGAGACTGTACAGGTAGTCCTCGTCTTATAACAGTTCATTTAGTGACCGTTCAAAGTTGCAGCGGCCCTGAATAAAGCGACTGAGGACCATTTTTCACAGTTACGACCGTCGCAGCTTCCCCACGGTCACGTAATCAAATTTCAGAGGTTTGGCAAGTGGTTTGTACTTATGACGGTCGCAGCGTCCCCGGGGGTCACGCAATCTCTTTTTGCGACCTTCTGACCAGCAAAGTCGGGGGGGGGGGGGAAGAGAAGCCAGATCCACTTAACAACCGTGTGTCCTATCTTAACAGCCGCTGTGATTCACTGAACAACGGTGGCGAGCAAAAGGGGGCAAAATTCACTGAACGCCTGTCTCGCTTAGCAACAGAAAATCTGGGCTATACGTTGAGGACTAGGCGCATCGGACGAGGTTTTAAAAAAGGCCCCGCTTAATCGGCGGTTAAAAAAACCATTAGGGAAGACTTTCCATCCTGCCCGCATTTTGATTCCCACAATCACAAAAGCGCTCTGGAAGCTCACCATTGGGCGGAAGTAAAGCAAGGCCAAAGGATGCTCCAGAAGGGAGGGGCATACATCACAAAACACAAGCAAAGACCCCCCCCCAAAAGGCCGGAAAAGGCGGTGGGGGAGAAGGGGGGGAGGAATGAATCTCCAGGAGGAAGGAAAGGGGAGAAATGGCTTCCACTTGCCTTTGACAGGGGGATGTGGGCTGCCAAGAGAGCCGCCCCCCCCAGGGGAAAAAAATAGCCAGGAGGAAATTGGAAAACAAGAAGCCATGTCTCTTTCCTGCCCGTCAAAGGGAATTAAAATGGGGAGGGGGGGGAAGCAGCTAAGGGCAGGGGAAGGAAGACTCATCTGGGGAAAAAGCAAGAGTCAAAAAATGACACACACACACACACACACACACCCAGGATGGATCCATGGTGCTTTTCTCATCGGTCACAACTGCCTTCCTCCCCCCCAAAACACACACACACACACACACACACACACTCAAACACACACAAAAGGGGATGGCGAGGGAAAGAGAGGCCAAAAATAAGGGGAAGGGGGAAGTAGAAGAGAAGAAAGCAAAAAAGGGGAAGGGGAAGCTAGAGGGATAAAAGGGAGGAAGGGGAAACGGGAAGGAAAAAAGGGAGGAAAGGGAAGCTAGAGGAGTAAAAGGGAGAAACTGGAAGGAAAAGGGAGGGAAACTGGAAGGAAAAAAGGGAGAAGGGGAAACTGGAAGGAAAAAAGGAGGAAGGGGAAAATGGAAGGAAAAAAGGGGGAAAGGAAAACTGGAAGGAAAAAGGAAGGGGAAACTGGAAGGAAAAAAGGAGGAAAGGAAAACTGGAAGGAAAAAAGGGGGAAAGGAAAACTGGAAGGAAAAAAGGGGGAAAGGAAAACTGGAAGGAAAAAAGGAGGAAAGGAAAACTGGAAGGAAAAAAGGGGGAAAGGAAAACAGGAAGGAAAAAAGGAGGAAAGGAAAACTGGAAGGAAAAAAGGGGGAAAGGAAAACAGGAGAAAGCCATGCAAAAAGGGGAGGGGGAGGGGGAACTGGAAGAAAAAAAGGGGAAGGAAAACTAGAGGAAGAGATGCCAAAAAAAGGGGGTAGGGGAAGAGAAAACTAGAAGGAAAAAGGGGGAAGAGGAAATGAAAGGATGCAAAAAAGGGGCAAGAGGAAACTAGTGGGATAAAAGGGGGAAGGGGAAATTAGAGGAAGGGATGCAAAAAAAAGGAGGGAAGGGGAGACTAGAAGGAAAAAAGAGGGAAGGGAAAAGTGGAGGAAGAGATGCAACCCCCCCATAAACAATTCTTCCTGACCTGGGGGGGGCAGTATTTTCTTCCCACTCCTGGATAGGAGTGGGGGGGCATCTAAGGACAGGGGGAGGATGGAAGCACCAGATATTGTCATCCCCAAGAAACCCCCCCCAAAAGGGGGGGGAAGCCAACCAGGGTCCTGCAGAAATCAAGGGGGGAAGTGAAGAAGCCCCCCCTCCCCAAAGGGGTGGGGGCAGAATTGGGGGGGGGTCTGGGGGGAGAAAGGCATCCACCTCTATTTTCCCATTAAAACATCCCAAATCCCATCCAAAGGAGGAACCCCCCAACCTCAGTCCTTCATCTTTGACCCCCCCATCCAGACAGCTTCCCCTTCTACGCAAGACCCCCCCCGTGGCTGTGGAGGATGAGAGTTGTAGTCGCCCCCTCCACACACAGACACACACAGACACACACACTTTCCATGGAGTTTCCCCCCCTTTCTTCCTCCCCTTGGGCGGGTCCAGCCAGGCAGGGGATGATGGGGAGCGGGTTGGCGAGGGAGACGCGGCGGCCGGGGATGATGGGGTTGGTGACCCGACCCGTCGGGGATGTGAATAGCGTGTGTGCGTGGGTGTGTTTGTGTTGTGTGTTTTGTCTGTGTCCTTCTCCCCCTCAAGCTGAGGAGATGATGGGGGGGGGGAGAGGAGGCTGCTGGGGATGATGGGAACGAGAGTGGCGGCAGGCTGAGGGAGAGGCATCCCCTGCGGCTGGGGCTGATGGGCTGTGGAGTGCCTGTGTGTTGTAGTTTGTGTGCATGTGTGTGTCTAGGTCCTCTGAGGAGATGTGGGGAGGGGACTGCTGGGGATGATGGGAACGAGAGTGGCGGCAGGCTGAAAGGCATCCCCTCCGGTTTGGGAATGATGGGCTCTGGAGTGCGTGTGTATTGTGGTTTGTGTGTGTGTGTGTGTGTGTGTGTGTGTGTCCATGTCCCCTGAGGAGATGGCGGGGGGGGGGCGAAGGGGGCTCCCGGGGATGATGGGAACGAGAGTGGCGGCAGACTGAGGGAGAGGCATCCCCTCCGGTTTGGGGACGATGGGCTTTGCAGTCCTCCTTGCAGCCTCCCCCTCCCGCTCGCCCGCCAGGCCCCCGCCGGCCCCCCGCGGACCCACCTGCCAGCCCGCCCCGGCGCCACCATCGACCCCTCCGCCCCGCGGCGACCGACGCGCTCCGGGCACCTTCGCGTTTGTTTGGCGGCTCCCGCGGAAGCAGCCAAGATGGCAGGGGAGCGCACCCAGTACGCCTGCGCGGCGCCGCCCGGGGCATGCTGGGGGATGTAGTCCTCCTGCCCGTGGGCCTTGCGGAGAGGCCCCGCCTCCTCGTCCCCCAAAGCGGGGCGGGGGAGGCGGGGTCCGTAGAGAACCTGATCGAATGAAAGCGCCTCCACTTCCGGCTCCCTATCGCAGCTCTTGCTTGCGGGGCAGGCGAAGAATGGGGGCACTCCATGGAATTTACAGCCAGGAAACCTGCATTTCAAGCTGGCTGAAATCCTCATCCAGGGCGAGTGGTTTTAGCCGCTGAGCAGCAAAAAAAGAGTTGAAAATAAAGGCAAGGGGGTTCTGCAAAACCACCCACCCCGTACGGTTATTTAGCTTTGAGCTTCCTCTGGCCCTAGGATGTGATGATCCACTATGCACCACCACAGTTGGACCCTCAATCCACGGTAAGCCAACCGGCTCGGCCTCCTTATTTTCCCTCCCAGCACCTGCTTGCAAGGTAGAAAACTCCTTAACCGGAAATCAAGGGCGAGAACCTGCGAGACTTTCTCTCTTGGGGTCAGATCAAGAGAAAACGCGAGATACGGCTAGCGACGCGGGACATGGGGCTTCACTTCGCGTTTTGGAATCCTGGGTCCGCGTATTAAAAAGGCGCCTTAGAAGACAAAGAAGCAACGAGGCAATTGGATGGAGTTTCGATCCCGGGGGAGATCCATTTGCTTTTCTGCAATAAACCTCCTTGAGTTAAACTAGTTTCCTAGGAACATTTTTTTTGCTTTTTTTTTTTTTTTGCAAAAACCCATTTTTTTAAAAAAAAAAATACCCAAAATATACATATGTTGTATATAGTATGTGTGTTATGCATGGGGACATTTTGAGAGCAAAGCAACTCAATTTCATTTTTAATGGGTGCCGTTGTGCCCGCAGTAAAAAAAAAAAAAAAAAAAAAGACAATAAAGGTTCTCATCAAAACCAAAACGGGTGAAACGCGTGTGGTGTGAACTCAGCTCTTTGTTCTCTGCAAAGCAGGTGATTTGCTTTTAAAGGGAAAAAAATCGTTTTTTTTCCTCTCTCTTCCTGAAAGCTTTCGTGCAAATGAATGGCAATTGCCAGGAGGGATCGTTGCAAAGAATGGGATGATTAATATTTTTTCTTACTTCTCCAGCCGCTGTTTTAATGAAAAAAGGAGGAGGAGGAGGAAAGGAAAGAAGGAAGAAATCAGGCTGGAAGATCCCGGCAGAAAACAGAATATTTGATTAATAAGAAAACTACAAGGATTTCTTTTTTTTCCTTTCTTTTTTCTTTTTTTGTTTCAATCTGAAGAGTGAAGAAGCCAAATTAGATTCTGAACTACAAGGTCTTGCAAGGCAAAAATGCAAGTCTTCCCCTGCCATCTAGTGGCCGTGCGGCGTATTGCAGCACAGTCCAACAGCTCTAAATAAATCACATGCTTAAAAACAGGTTTTTTTTTTTTCAAACTTGGAAATTTAACATGAGTGTCTCAAAGGTGTTTTTTCAAGAGGCAACTGCACTTAGTCGGTTATTCCTTGAAGACGTTTCGCTTCTCATCGAAGAAGCTTCTTCTCTACCATTCAGCCAGAACTGAAAAAGCTGCTTTTTTAAAAGATATTTTATTAATTTTTTTTAACGTCATCACCATTAATATTTGGTAAACAGAGTGCTGTCTGGGTTTATATTTACAAACAATAACAATTAGTTTTTATAATGACATGCTCCACATAGTACCTTTCCTCTTTTCTCTTATTCCAATAATATTGTCAGAATCCAATTATACTTCATCTCCAGTTATCAATTATAGAAAACCCCATTTCTACCCTCTCTGGATTCTTTTTTTTTTATTGAAAATTTTTAAATTTTACAAAAAGAAGAAAATTCCCTTCCCCAAACCCTCCCAACCCTCCCCTCCCCTCCCACAACCTTCCCAGAGCTGAATACAGGCTTAATTAAAAAAAAAATTAAAAAAATCTTAAGATACATATAAACCATAAACAAATCTAAATACATTCATTAAACAAATTGTAAAATAGTTAACAACAATATATATAAAAAGAAATACAAGAAGAAAGAAAGAAAGAAACAGAAAAAAAATCCAATAAAAAAAGATTAAAAAAAATAATATCTATGAAATATCTTAAATTTTAAATATAAATTATTCAAAAACTAAATAATATTTTTATATCCAACTTATATTGTATAAAATCTATCCATTTTTTCCATACCAGGAGGTACTTCTCCTGCGATTCATCTTTCAAGAAAGCCGAAATCTTTGCCATTTCCGCCAAATAAGAAACTTTAAGAAAGCACTCTTGCAAAGTAGGCAAAGATTCCTTCTTCCAACATTGCCCTACTAACAACCTGGCGGCTGTGATTAAGTTTAACATCAATATAGTCTCTTTACTATCACAATCAGAAGCCCTCTCTGGAGTCTGTCATACAAGAAAGGGAAGGGGGTGAACAAAGGGGCTTTATGGCCCTCACTTCCTTCGGTACAACTTCAAAGGGATTGAATGTGGATAGCACCAAAAGGCCTTATCATAACAAAGGAGGCTATTTACCTTTCATGTAGTTTTCTCTGAAGTCTCCATCCAGCCGGCAGAAAGGAAAAGGGGGTGGGATTGTGATGCCTGAAACTGTCACTGGAAGAGGGGGGTGATTGGGTGGGACTACTGGGGAACCCCTTAAAACCTCGAATGGGAGAGCTTGGACCCCAAGTCCTGTCTAGCATGCCTGCAACCATTTTCTCTTAATAAAGGATTCCTGTTGGAAGAATTATTCCAAGAGTTCTGTCTTCTTAAGATGCAAAGTGGGGTAGGTCCTTACAAATATTCTCTTTTAATCACCATTAATATTTGGTAAACAGCGTGTTGTCTGGATTTATATTTACAATCAAGAACAATTAATTTCTATAATTACATGCTTCACATAGTAGCTTTCCTTGATTTTCTCTTCTTCCAATAATATTCTCTTTATCAACCTTAAATTAGTACATTTCTTAGTATTTTAGTAGATAACAACTGAATTAGACATTTTTCTGGCATTTCTACAAGTAACAACGACATCAATATGAAGCTGCTTTTCTAATTAATCATCTTAATCACTTTGTCACAGATCCTGTTTTTAAAAGTTCTCATTTAAATTTGTTTTCCCCCAAATGCTCAATCGCCTGTCAAGATTTTCTTAGAGTTAGTTACAGCTAAATATTTAAGTTTTTTTCTCATACCAGTCATCCCAACAATTTTACATTTCTCATATCTCAAAACAAAAACAAAAAAAGAGAGAAGAAAAAAAAAGGAAATAATATACACCTGAAGAAGCTTCTTGGAGAAGTGATATGTTTGTTATGAGTCATATAAATACAAGTCAGTTGCCAAATGCCTGAATTTTCATCACATGACCTTGGGGATGCTGCAACGGTCGTAAGTGTGAAAAACGGTCATAAGTCATTTTTTCGGAGCCATTGAAACTTCAAATGGTCACTAAATGAACTGTTGTAAGTGGAGGACAAGCTGTATTATGGTTTGTTTGGACACTGTGACCGTTACAATTATGTATTTGGAAGCTGGGTTTATAGGATAATGCGAATCCAGTCGAGTGGAATTTTTACTTACAGTGCCAAGTTTAGTACTTAAGGCCAAGTTTTGTTTTATACTTCCTTATCAAATCATCTTGAGGCCTCCCAATTACGATTAGAGGAGGATTAAGAAGAGTTAATTTTTACTTTTTTTAAATGTCATGGTCTAATTAAAATGCCCAAGCTTCTTAAGCAGTTATTCATCCTGGAAATTAATTAAAACTTACCTTGCAGGCAAATCCTAGCGAGGTGGAGAGAAACACCCCACCCACTCGATTGCGGATCGTGATTTTATCCCCCCTGGCAATTAATTAAAAAGAGAAAACAGCAAGTCTAGATGCTTGCATGCCATTGTGTGTTTAATCAAGCTTCCAGTGTCTCCAATAGTGCAACTCTGTGTTATTTACGAAGAAGTAAATTCCACTGGGAAACAGAGTTTATTTGCACTAGCATCTCCAGAAACAAAACTGACAAGGTGTAAGCTTACCGCAAGGAGGTTGAGGGGTTGGTGAACTGGTGTAAGGAAAACAGCCTAGTTTTAAATACCGGAAAAAACAAAGAGATCATTGTCGATTTTAGAAAAGGAAGGCTCAGCCACACTTGTCTGTGCATTAATGATTCACCTGTGGAGATGGTTACCAGCATCAAATTCCTGGGTGTGCAGCTAACAAGTAGGATGGCTTGGTCACTCAACAATGAGACACTGGTGGAGCAGGCACAGTAGCGCCTGCATTTTCTGCGTTGCATGAGAAAAGCACATCTTCATTCCCCTGTCCTGACCACGTTCTACAGGGGGACGATCGAGAGCATCTTGTCACACAGCATCACAGCCTGGTTTGGAAGCATCCCTGCTTCAGATAGGAAGGCGGTGCAGAGAATGGTGAGGACGCAGAAAAAGCTATTGGCAGATCCCTGCCTTCCATTCAGGACATAGCACAGAAGCGCTGCTTGAGCAGGGTCCGTAAGATTATCTGGGACACAACACACCCTCTTCACAACCTGTTTTCCTTGTTACCTTCTGGGAGGGGGGGGGGCTTCGTGGTATCCAAAGCAGAACATCCAGATTCAGCCAGAGTTTCATTCCATACAGCGTTAACCTTGCGAACTCTCAAGCTTCCTCCTTCCGTTATATATTCAAGATGGACAGTATTTAATATTTATTTGCTACGTATATGTAGGGGTGTGGGTCTATACATATGTTGTACATAGTATGTTTAGGTGTGTGTCATGACTGTGTTTCACTTTGAGAGCGGGCAACTAAATTTCATTTCTGATGTGTGCCGTTGTGCCCACAGTAAAAAAAAAATAACAATAAAGGTTATCTTATCTTATCTTATCCGGA